GTTCACGCCATTCTCCTGCCTCAGCCTCCTGAGTAGCTGCGACTACAGGCGTCAGCCAACACGCCAGGTTAATTTTTTTTTTTTTTTGGTGTTTTTAGTAGAGACGGGGTTTCACCGTGTTAGCCAGGATGGTCTCGGTCTCCCGACCTCGTGATCCGCCCACCTCGGCCTCCCAAAGTGCTGGGATTACAGGCCTGAGCCACTGCACCCGGCCAGGATAGGAAAAAAAAAAACAAAAAACCCTAAAATCATGGAGGAAAATAAGGATAGATATAAACACATAAAAATTTTACATAACCTTATGGGAAAAAAAAAAACCTACACGAGAAAAAAGGGTAAATGAGGTACAAATAGGGTAAAATATTGTAAAGCATTTTACAATAGGTTACAACTTCCAGTACCCAAAGTTTTGGGGTAAATTTGTATTCTGAAATAATTTAAGACTTTCAGAAAAGTTGCAAGTATAATATTTTACCCAGATTCACTAATTTTGATGTTTTACCATATGTTTTATGTCTCCAAATGTATATATACATATACATGTATATATAAATGCTTGTGAGCCATTAGAAGTTAAGCTGAAAAAGACATAATTCTCCTTTACCACTAGTTACTACAGAACAGAATATCCAGAGTTTTTATAAATCAACAAAAACAAAAGTAGTTTAATAGACGAACACGGGCAAAGGACATGGAAAAGTGTAAATGGTACACTAAAAGAAGCAAGCATTTTATTTGGACTTCCTTTGTTCTTTTAAAATTGATTTAGAAGGTAAGTTTTTTCCTTGACCCCGGGTAAAACCTTGGGCAGAACCTGAACATTTTGCCTACTGTGGTTCACATAATCGCAATTGCCATGATTATACCAAGTGTCATATGAACGTCTCACTTCAGAAATCAGAATATCCATTTCCATGTAATAATCACAACGTTAGACTTGATTTAAAGTAAAACTTCTCCCCATTGGCATCAGGGCTTTGGCAAGTAGGAGGCTTCCCTCCCTCTAGCTTCCACTCCTCGTACCCTCATCTTACTAACCTGATCTTCCTAACCTGCCAGGGTAACAGCAGCAGAGTGAGGGGGAAAGAACTATCTTAACCTCCCCCCAACTCTCCCCTCCAGGCCACTGTAAGCTCCCTGAGCCTGGACGGATTTAGAGCTGACTGTCCCCTTCCCTTGAGGGGTACGCATCAGGCTTTCTGAGTGATCCTGCAGGTACCACTCCCAGTAGACTTGCAGTGTGGAACAGGCACCCCCAGCCTGCTCATCCCTATCCCCTTAAAGGGAGAAAGGTGAGCTCATAGATGCAGTTCTCTCCAGAGAAATTCTCCTCGCAAAATCACCTCCAACCCTACCCTCTGGACCCTCTGATACAGACATGTAGCTGTAGCCGAATATCAGTCACACAACTCTCTTTGAATTCTGATACTGTATTTTGATATCTTTATTGAAACTTCCTACTTACCCTATTACACAAGCAATTTACAGAATTTCTTAATGTCATAAAATTAAAACAAAAACATGATATAAGTTTTAGTCTACCAAAAGGACAAAAGTTAAAATAAAAATAATACCTAGTTCTGGTGATGATGCAGGAAAAGTCATTTATCTACTGTTGGTGTTAATATAAATGGATTAAATCTTTGGGAGGCTAATTTGCAAATATCTATTGAAATTTTAAATATATATACAACTGATTTTGTAATTACACTTCTAAAAATTTATTGTAGATAAATGTTTGAACAAATGTGAAAAGGTATTCAATTTTTTTATTCTGGCATAGTAAAAAAAATATTGAAATGAGCTCAAATATCTGTCAATAGAAGAATGGTTAAGTAGATTGTGGCATAGCCATATGAGAAAATTATTATTCATCGGTTAAGGAAGATGGAACACATTTATATGTATAGACATAGAAAGGAGTCCAAGATATCTTTTAAGTAAAAATTTAAAAGTTGGAGAATAAAATTATATAACAGTCCTTTATTAAAAATCAAAACCAGAGGCCGGCTGCGGTGGCTCACACCTGTAATCCCAGCACTTTTGGAGGCCGAGGTGGGTGGATCACCTGAGGTCAGGAGTTTGAGACCAGCCTGACCAACATGGTGAAACCCTGTCTCTACTAAAAATACAAATTAGCTGGGCTTGGTGGCACATGCCTGTAATCCCAGCTACTTGGGAGGCTGAGGCAGGAGAATCACTTGAACCCGGGAGGCGGAAGTGCAGTGAGCCAAGATCGTGCCATTGCACTCCATCCTGGGCAACAAAGGCAAAACTCAGTCTCAAAAAAAAAGAAAAAAAAAACCAAAAACAAAAAAGCTAATGTAGAATTTTATATGTATAGAAAGAAGTGTTAGGAATATAAACCAAACAACTTAGTGTAGAAATTCCTAGGTAATTTGATTATAGGAAAGTCTCATTTTCTAATTTTGCACTTATGTATTACTTTTTAAACAAAATTTTATAGCATTTTTTTCAAAATCACAGAACATATTTTAAAATAAACTAGTGATGATGGAATCACAACAGTAAAAATTTAAGAAATGAATACAAAGTTCAAATCAAAAGTGATTTTATGATCTTAAATGCTTTCAACACAAAACTAGAAAGAGTAAACCTTCTCAGCATATTCCACATAATTGATACCACTTTAGAACTAATTTTAAGACAAGGAAACTGAGGTGGAAATCAATAACAAAAAACCATGCACAGGTCAAAATAAAATCAAAATAGAAATTTTATAAAATATTGTGTCATGAAACTAAAGCCATATTCAGAGGGAAATATGTAGCCTCAAAAATTTGTATTGAGAAGGAAGAAAGAACAAAAATAAATTATGTAAGTGTCCAACTGAAAAAAACTACCCCTTGTGTTTACACAACCTTGATATATGAGAGAGGTAGGGACAGCTAGTGCAGGAAATGACTTTTTCAGTAAATAGCATTAGGAAAATTGGTAGTCCACATGAGAAGATAAATAAAAATAGATTCCTATGTTACACCATTCCTAAAATGAATGCCACATGGTTTCAATACATGAAAACCAAAATTTCCAAATTCTGAGGAAAAAAAATATAGGAGAATGTCTTTATGACCTTGGGAAAAGGAATGATTAAATAAGACACAAAAAGCATAAATCAGAGACATGACATATTTGACTAAAATAAAACCTAAATTGCTGTTCAGCAAAGGACAGTACAAACAAAATAAAAAGATAAATGGAAAACTGGGAGAAGATTTTGCAGTATTCACAATGAACACAGAATTGTATCCAGAATATTAAAAAATAAAAAAATGAAAAAGGCAAACAATAGTAAAATGTCCAAAGTATATGAATAAGTGATTCATAGAAGAGGAATCACAAATAGTGAATAAGCATAAGAACTGCACAACCACTTTAGTAACTGGGGACATGCACATTACGACCGCAAAGGGTACTATTTCCCATCCATCGGAATGGAAAACATTTTATAGTCTGACAGTACCAAACGCTGGCAAGAAATGGAGCAACAAACTCTCAAATACTGTTGTTAGAATATAAATTAATACAATCACTTTGGAAAACAATTTGACCATGACTATTAAAGATGAAGGTAAATACAGCCTATGACCCAGCACTCCTGCTCAGATACATCTTGCTGAGAAATTGTGGAACATGTACATAGGGAGATGTGTGTGAGAATACTTAGAGCAGCAGCAGAGTTTGTGATATGAAAAAATTGGAAACTCCCTCAATGTTAATAAACAAGAGCTTGGGTAAATTGTGGCATACTCACAAAAGAGAATATTGTAGAGCAGTTAATGCATAAAACCTGCATGTATCCATATGAATAAATCTCAAAACCAATGTTGAATAGAAGGTGCAAGTGGCAGGTGGCAGAAGTCTTCATTCTATGCTTGCAGAATGAATGTCACTTATGCAAAACAGGTTCTGCCCACACATGACCCACATCTGGGCATGTAGCTGATGCTCAGAAGTGGTAAACTAACCTGAGAAGGACTGCCATCGCTACCTTCATTGTGGGCAGGGATAAGAGTATTTCACCCTTATTTTACAGGCTAAATGGAAGCCCAAGGGAAGGAGATTTTCTTTTCTTTTGTTATTTTACTTTAAGTTTCAGATACATGTGCAGAACATGCAAGTTTGTCATATAGGTATAGTGTGCCATGGTGGTTTGCTGCACCCATCAACCAATGATCTAGGTTTTAAGCCCCACATGCATTAGGTATTTGTCCTAATGCTATCCCTCCCCATGCCCCCGACCCCCAACAGGCCTTGATGTGTGTTGTTCTCCTCCCTGTGTCCATGTGTTCTCATTGTGCAACTCCCACTTATGAGTGAGAACATGCAGTGGTTAGGTTTCTGTTCCTGTGTTAGTTTGCTGAAGATGATGACTTCCAGCTTCATCCATGTGCCTGCAAAGGACATAATCTCATTCCTTTTATGGCTGCATAGTATTCCATGGTGTATATGTACTACATTTTCTTTATCCAGTCTATCATTGATGGCTATTTGAGTTGGTTCTATGTCTTTGCTATTGTAAATAGTGCTGCAATAAACATACGTGTGCATGTGTTTTTTTGTTTTGTTTTTTTTGGGGTTTTTTTTTGTTTGTTTGTTTGTTGTTTTGAGACAGAGTCTCACTCTGTCACCCAGGCTGGAGTGCAGTAGCACAATCTCGGCTCACTGCAACCTCCACCTCCTGAGTTCAAGCAATTCTCCTGCCTCAGCCTCCCAAGTAGCTGGGATGACAGGTGTGCGCCACCATGCCCAGCTAATTTTTGTATTTTTAGTAGAGACAAGGTTTCACCATGTTGGCCAGGCTGGTCTCCATCTCTTGACCTTGTGATCTGTCTACCTCGGCCTCCCAGGCATGTTTGTTTATAGCAGAATGATTTTTATTACTTTGGGTATATACCCAGTAATGGGATTGCTGGATCAAATGGTATTTAAAAAGTCAAGAAACAGTAGATACTGGCGTGGCTGTGCAGAAATAGGAACACTTTTACACTGTTGGTGGGAATGTAAATTAGTTCAGCCATTGTGGAAGACAGTGTGGCGATGCCTCAAGGATCTAGAACCAGAAGATTTTCATAAGGGGTCCCAGTGCCGTGTGAAAAGAAAATGCATGACTCATGAAAGCCTTCTCCTGCCCCACTCCACACGCTCCGCACCTGACAAGTGTCCAAGCCCCATTCAGAGCGGGCACACAGCACATCATTCCCGATGAAGCTCTTCTTGTCCTTCAAGAAGAGGAATTGGTACCGCTGTCTGCAGATGTCATTGTTCACGATCCTCACAGCCACCTCGTGAAGACTGTAGGGAGTACTTGGGGTCGCTGAGGAAATAGAGAGCCAGCCTTGTCATCCCCTCAGCTTTTCGGCACATCTCCATCACAGTTGTCCATATTTGCTAAGGTAGGAGGGAGGGCCATTTCCTGGGATGGCGATTGATAAAGGCCCCAGCCCACAGTCTAACTTTTGAAAAAGCCCAGCTCATTAAAAAAGACTACACAAGGCCGGGCGCGGTGGCTCACGCCTGTAATCCCAGCACTTTGGGAGGCCGAGGCAGGCGGATCACGAGGTCAGGAGATCGAGACCATCCTGGCTAACACGGTGAAACTCTGTCTCTACTAAAAAATACAAAAAAAATTAGCCGGCCGTGGTGGCACATGCCTGTAGTCCCAGCTACTCAGGAGGCTGAGGCAGGAGAATGGCATGAACCTGGGAGGCGGAGCTTGCAGTGAGCCAAGATCGCGCCACTGCGCTCCACACTCCAGCCTGAGTGACAGAGTGAGACTCCGTCTCAAAAAAATAAATAAATAAAATTAAAAAATAAAAAAGACTACACAAAAGTGTCCCAGGGGGCTTGGAGTGATATCCAGGCACCAAAGGACAGGAGGGGATTTCTCCAGTAATTCAGGTTCTACGAGGATGAAGAGCTGAGCTCTGCCTCATGGCCACCGGCAAGATGCCAAGACCCTAGAGTCCCAAGATGGCACCCCCTGGAAAGGAGGCCCCCACAAAGCCTCCCAGATTCCAGGACCCAAGGAGAGCACCAACAGGGGCCAGACCTCCAGGAATTTGGGGGTACCTCAGCATAACCAGCAAACAAGATGGATAGAGAAGCCTCAATACCTCAGTATGTCCTGAGATCGTGGCCCTCACGCCATTAATGGGAACTCCATTAATAACCAAGAGTTCACTTCCTGCAATGCTGCAGGGTAAGCACTTGGCATTTCATTTAACTTCACTTTGGGAACTGAGGTGCATGCAGGCCACATGCGTCTTTCACACTGGAGCACTGGGTCTATCTTTGTATCAAGAGGTCGGGAAATGTTTGCTGTCTGAGTAAAGGAGTGAATAAAGGAATGAATGAATGAAGGAGCCCGCTGTGTTCTGAAGAGGCTAGTGTCTTGTAACCTCTGCCGGCCTTCACTCACCTTTTTTCCCTGTAGTTCCCCAGCCGATTACCCAGCACATGCTTCCAATGGATGGCTTGAATTTGATGTTAGGGAGGCAGACGGGCTGGACGAGGGGGGTCCATGGGATGGAGTTTCTGAGCTTTAGGAGGGCAATGTCCTGAGACACAAGATTGCTGAAATCCTTATGAATCGTCATGCGAATGAGCGGGAGTTGAGTGCCGTTTTCTGGGAGCTGGTGGACTCCCACCATCACGGTGTACAGGCTGGGGTCCTTGGATCTGCAGGACCATGGGTAGGAGGCCGGTCGCCAATGGTAAGGCCATAAGTAAGGGAGGAGACGGGCCCTGAGCTCAGGACCACCCAGCCGGGCCCCCTGCTCCCAGATCCCTAGATTCACCAGGGACCCCCGAGGCCAGAAAGCAAAGTCCCCAGGCCCCGCTGACTGACCTCTGCAAGCAGTGCGCAGCCGTGAGGATCCACTGGTGGTGGATGAGGGAGCCACTGCAGATGTACGTGCCTAGGAACAGGATGCTCACCTGCCATGGCCACTTGCCTACCTCTACCAGCTTCCCCTTCACCACCCTGCAGGACACGTTGGTCTGACCGCAGGCCCGCAGCCAGGGCCCTGAGGAAAGAGGATCTCAGGCAGCAAAGGGCAGCCCTCACACCCCTGGACACAGCAGATTTGAGACAGAGAGAGCCGCCTTCCAGCCCTGTTGTAAGCAGCCACTGCCACATGCACATGTGGGAAGGGGCTTTCTCCACTGCCTCAAAACTGGCAACCAGCCGGGCACAGAGGCTCACACCTATAATCCCCATGGCTCTGACCCATGGCCACCTGCAAGGTGCCAAAACCCTAGAGCCCCAAGATGGCACCCCCTGGAAAGCAGGCCCCCACAAAGCCTCCCAGATTCTAGGACCCAAGGAGAGCAGCAACAAGGGCCAGACCTCCAGGAATTTGGGGGTACCTCAGGATAACCAGCAAACAAGATGGATAGAGAAGCACTTTGGGACGCCAAGGTGGGTGGATCACTTGAGGTCAGGAGTTCAAGACCAGCCTGGCCAATATGATGAAACCCCATCTCTACTAAAACTACAAAAATTAGCCTAGCATGGTGGCACATGCCTGTAATCCCAGCTACTTGGGAGGCTGAGGCAGAAGAATCACTTGAACTTGGGAGGTGGAGGTTGCAGTGAGCTGAGATCATGCCACTGCACTCCAGCCTGGGTGACAGAGCCAGACTCCATCTCAAAAAAAAAAAAAAAAGGGCAACCAAAGGCCAGGGTCAGCAGGAGGTGCCCCATATTCTAGAGTTCCCAAACAATGAGAATGAGACAACTCCTCCTGGGCTTGTTATAAGCCATCAGCCAGGACTCATCCCTGCCCGTAGTTTACAAAGATGGTTGGGGGAGAGAAGCAGAAGAGAGAATCACTGCAGAGGTGAGCTGCCAGCCAGGGGATTGGTGATGGGGCACAAGTTGGCCAGGCTGCCTGTCCCCAGTGAACAGTAATGTCACACTGCACTGCTCCAGGGGCCACCCATGTGACCGTGTGAGGAAGTGAGTAGAGCTGCGTGTCCATTCCCTCCTTGACTCTCACTGGCCCCAGCAGCAGGCGTGAGAAGAGAGCAGGCTGCACTGAACCAGGTGTGAGATGGAGATTTTTAATGGGCCCAGTCTGGATTGGTACAAGTACTTACTAACTAAACATCACAAAGGACAAGAAAGGGAAAAAGTCACACCAGTAATTACAGAGCTTTGGACAGCCCAGGAGGGAGGATGGCTTGAGGCCAGGAGTTCGAGGCCAGCCTAAGTAACACAGTGAGATCTTGTTTCTACAAAAGCAAAATTAATCAGGTGTGGTGGTGCACACCTGTAGTCCCAGCTACTCAGGAGACTGAGGCAGGAGGATCACTTGAGCCCAGGAGTTCAAGGCTACAGTGAACTAGGATTGCACCCTCCATTCCAGCCTGGGTGACAAAGCAAGACCCTGTCTCTAAAAAAATTTTAATTTCTTTTTTAATATGGAATGCTTCACGAATTTGCATGTCATCCTCTTTTCACCCCCGAAGAGTCTATTGAACACAGTATTGAATTCTGGCTGCAGCACTCACAAACCACTGAATCTCTATGAGCCTCAATTTCCCACTGTGAAATGGGATGCTGATGAAGCTCGCCTCCCAGGGTGTTGCGATCTCACTCAGTCTCAGCTGGGCTGATACAGACTGGGCACTAAGCCTCACTTCCTCATCATTGCAAGATGGAGTCTCCTATGACTGTGCCTCCCAAACAAACTCAATCGTTCCATGGATGTTAGTGTTAGTCTGTTCCTTTTTTTTTTTTTTGAGATGGAGTCTCACTTTGTCGCCCAGGTTGGAGTGCAGTAGTGTGATTTCAGCTCACTGCAACCTCCACTTCCCAGGTTCAAGCTGTCCTCATGCCTCAGCCTCCTGAGTAGCTGGAATTACAGATGTGCACCACCATGCCCAGGTAATTTTTGTATTTTTAGTAGAGGCAGGGTTTTGCCATGTTGGCCAGGCTAGTCTCAAACTCCTGGCCTCAAGTGATCCACCCTCCTTGGCCTCCCACAGTGCTGGGATTACAGGCATGAGCCACTGTGCCCACTGTGTTCCCCCATTTTAAATAAGGCTCTTCCCTCCTGTGCTCATGGTCACCCTGGAAAATGGAACTGCCCTGACACCGTTTGAATTCTCAGTCTGCTGAAGATGTACTACCCACCAGGACATGGACATACCAAGGCCCTTCAGGCATGAGGACAGCCCGACGCAGGCTCCCAGCAAACAGACCCCTCCAGCCTCTGTCCCATGTCCCTGAAGCTTACCTTCAATATATGGCTGATTCTCTAATCTGGCAGAAGAAAGTGGAGATGTAAGGCCTTGAAGATACCCCGGCCCACAGGCCATGGGAAGCTGGTACCTACTCCTCAATGCTCCTTCTAATGGGATGTGGAGGCAGAGGGGGTGTGGCACCTCCACTGTGCCAAGATTCTAGAACTCATGGATTGTGTGTTTATGACTGTGGGAAGTAGGTATCTGCCCCAGGGTTGGGGACCTACCTGGCTGTGGCAGTCACAGGACTCTGAGAAGGAGGCAGTGTGGTCATGGCAAGGCCCTGCCAGGGCCACAAGGTGATGCTGCTGTCAGGAACCTCCCTGGAGTGGTACTCCTGGTGCTCGGCCCATGACAGTGCCTCCTGGGCCCCGTCCTCTGCAGTGTACCCCAGCCTTGGCCTTGATGGTGCCCCCGGTGCATAGTTCTGAGCCTGTGACAGCACGACATGCTTGGCTTGTGACAGTGCCTGGTGCCTGGCCCATGAGGCACCCTATTGCCCAGCCCAGGTTTCTTTGTGAACCCCCTCTCATTCCCCCTTGGAGGTGTGGAAACTGAGGCACTGAGAGGAAGATAACTAGTTCCTGTAGTATGTGATGTGATTGAGGTGGAACTGGAGGTTTCTCTTTTCCCTCAGGGTCTGTATTTTCTTTACTTTTCTTTCTTTTTTTTTTTTTTTTTTTCAGACAGGGTCTCACTTTGTCACCACACTGGAGTGTGATGGTGGTGAGATCATAGCTCACTGCAGCCTCCACCTCCCAGGCTCAAGCAATCCTCCTACCTCAGCCTCCTGAGTAGCTAGAACCACAGGTGTGCGCCATCATGCCTGGCTAACTTTTTAAAAATTGTTTTAGAGATGAGGTCTCACTGTGCTGCCCAGAGTGGTCTCAAGCTCCATGGATTACAAGCACGAGCCACTGTGCCCAGCCCAGGGTCTGTATTTTCAAGAGAAGAGCTCCTGGGTTGAGGAAATCTAGGTATGTTTAACCTGGGAAGGTGGCTTCCTGAGAAGAAGCTGCTTGCAGACTTGGGTCTTCAAGAATCAGCAGAATGAATGACATCTGGGGACACCTCATCACCACTCCCCTGAGATCTCCCCTCCCAAGGATCCCAGGCTCCTCACACTGTCCATGCAGGAAGCTCCTGCTCCACCCTGCAACCAGTGCTGCCAAGGACACGGAGTGATGAGGTTGTTCACACACTGCTGGGGAGATAAACTGACATGACCACTGTAAACGACTGTTTGGAATCATTTAGCAGAGCAGAAAGTGTGCCTACCCCACAACCCACAGTTCCACTCCTGGCTTCATGCCCTAGAAACTGCACAGATGCAGCAGGACAGGTGCAAGAGACTGTTCACTAGCAGCGCTGTTGGGAAGAGTCCCAGCTGGAAACTACCCAACTGCCATCCAAGGTGCAACAGCTACACAGAATCTTCAGCAGCGGTGAGAATGGATGAGCTGCTGCTACACCTAACTAGATGGTGACTCTCATCACCGTATTCTGAGCGAAAGAAGTCGGATACAGTCTGTGTACTGTATGAAATTCAAAAACAGGCAAAACAAACTAATTTTAGAGATATATGGTAGAAAATCAAGGAAATTATTATCTGTACAATCAGATTTCCTCCAGGTGGAAAGACATAGAAAGGGAAAGGAGAATGAAAAGAGAAACTTCAGAGAAGAGAAACGCGATCACTCTTCTCTCTTTGCAGAAAATAATTCTTTGGGGGAAACAACTAATCAATAAAACAAAATAGGATGACTGAATAAAAGATCAGGCATATCTGTTATCACAAGCAATGTGAATGCATAGAATTCTACTTTTAAAATAAAAAGTCCTCATGTTGGGTAGAAAAAAACCCATCCACATACTACTTATTAGAGACCACCAAAAACAAAGTGGCATAAATAAGGTGAAAGTAAAAAGATGTGGCTGGGCTTGGTGGCTCACACCTGCAATCCCAGAACTTTGGGAGGCTGGGGCGGGTGGATGGCTTGAGCCCAGGAGTTCGACACCAGCCTAGCCAACATAGTGAGACCTCGTCTTTACAAAAAATTTTAAAAATTAGCCAGGTGTGGTGGCATGCGCCTGTGGTCCCAGCTACCCGGGAGGCTAAGATTGTGGTGAGCTGAGATCACGCCACTGCACTGCAGACTGGGCAACAGAGTGAGACCCTGTCTCAAAAAATATTAATTTAAAAAATTAGAAATTAATTAAATTTTTTAAAGATAGGCAGAAATATATTTCTATGCAAGCCAAAGTGGCAATGGCAATGTTAATCTTTAAAAATAATTCAAGACAAACGATTTAAACAGAAAAAGAAAGCTATTTTGTGTTGAAAAAGGCACAAATTGCAATATGTAACATCATAAAGTTCTGTCCATCAATAAAATAACATCAAACATATGAAACAAAATCAATCAGCAATACATGAGAAATTGGAAAATCTCTCTTGCAGTGGGAGAGTCTTCTCCAACTCACTCTGTCCTTGAGAGATGGAATAGCTATACAACTACTAATAAAATAATATTAATAATTAGAGCAATACATTATTTAAAAACCTTATTGCGTGTGCCCAAGCAAATTTATAACCTTAAAGATGTTTATTATTGAATAACAGAGAATGAAAATAAATGACCTAAATACTCAAATCAAAAAACTGTAAAAAGTAGAAAATAAACCAGAGGAAAATCTGAAGGAAAAAAAGTACAAAATATAAAATTGTACCTTAATCAATTAGAAGAACCGCCAAAATTAAGAATGAACTCTGATCTGGATCTTTGAAAAAACAAGTAATGTTACATGGGACAAAGGGCATGTTTTCTATTGGTAGGGTGTAACCCACTAAGATAATACAGCAGGCATGAACCCTGTATTCCTCACAACACAGCTTTGAAACATAGAAAGGAAGAATTGTGCAAGAAGAAATAGACAAATTCTTAATTTTTGCAGTAAACTTCTTAGAAATCAACAAATTATGTAGCCGTAAAATACGTCAGGTGTTGAGATCATTTGAATAACACAATCAACAAGCCTGATCCAATCAGTTATGCCTCAAACTTTGTTCTAAAACACACACTTTTAACTTTTATTTTAGGTTCGGGAGTACATGTGCAGGTTTGTTACTTAGGTAAACTTGTGTCACGGGGGTTTGTTGTACAGATTATTTCATCACCCAGATACTATGCCTCGGATCCAACAGTTATTTTTTCTGCTCCTCTCCCTCCTCTCTTAGATCACTAAAACCAAGGAGACCCCAGGAAAAATGCTGCTGTTGTTCCCCTCTATATGTTCATGTGTTCTCATCATTTAGCTCCCACTTATAAGTGAGAACATATGGTATTTGGTTTTCTGTTCCTGCATTAGTTTGCTAAGGATAATGGCCTCCAGCTCCATCCATTTTCCCGCAAAAGACATATCTCATTCTTTTTCATGGCTGCATAGTATTCCATGGTGTTTGTGTAACACATTTTCTTTATCCAGCATCATTGATGGGCCTTTAGGTTGATTCCATGTCTTGGCTCTTATGAATAGTGCTGCAATGAACATTCCTGAAAACACACACTTTCATTTCAGACGCACAAGTAACACTCACTAAGACTAATCAAATACTAAGCCACAAGTAAAACCTCAAAAAATTCAAAAATGCAGAAATAATTAAATTCATATTCAGTTGTGCATCACTTAATGACAGGGATACAGTGTGAGAAATGCATTGTTAGGCAATTTCATCACCATGCAAACATAAGACTGTGCTTACACACGCCTAGATGGTACATATATATTTTTATATATATGTATTTTTTCATCAGGAAAACCAAATGTCCCAGCACCATTACTGAATATCAGTCATTTCCCTTACTTGTCTGCAATGCCACTATCAAGTACCATATATCAGTTTTCTATATATGCTCCATTATAATCTTATGGAACCACTCTTGTATATGTGGTTTGTAATCGACTGAAATGTCATTATGTGGCATATGACTGTAGTGATATAGAGAAAAAGAAACTCTCATTCCTCCCCAGAACTAACCACCAGGAAATTAAATAACACCCTTCTACATAACTCTTAGGCTAAATAAGAAATATACTGTGAAATTATAAGCAATACAGAAATGAATGACAATGAGGACAGTATGTATCAAATCCTGTGAAATATGGCTAAAGTGGGACTCAGAGGAAAATTTACGGAATTAACTGAAAATACTAGAACACAAGGAAGTCTAAAATAATGAACTAAGCACACTACTCAAGAGGTTACAAAAAGAGCAATAAAATAACCACATGGAGGCATCTACTTCTCATTTTGGTATATTTTCTTCTACTTTTTTTCTTAAAAAAAAAAGATTATGAGCAATATTTTTTAAGAAAAAAATGTGGAAGAAAATATACCGAAATGAGAAGCAGATGTCTCTGCGTGGTGGGACTCCAGGGGAAGTCTCCTTTCTTTAGGTTCAACTGTGTTTTCTAATTTTCTACAATAAACATGCACTACTTTTATAATCTGTTTAAAGAAAAGAAAGCAAGCTGCTTTTGGAGTACTATCGTGAGTCACTCCTACTGCAGCCTAAAAGCCTGCCTGTTTCAGCTATTCCCTTAACAGCATGCCTACTTTACAGACAAGGAAACTGAGGTCACAGGCCCAGACCTTTTTCTTAAGCCCCAGCACTAATGATACAGCAAAAACCAGCAGTCCCCACTCCAGAGAGGCTCCTGGCAGACTTAATTCCAGGAAGCTCTGCCATCCCACCCACAGCCAACCTCCAGGACTACCCCAGAAAAGAGAAAAGAGTCAGCTCAAGTTTACACATGTTTAATCCCTGCTCTCCTGGTCCCAGATTCCAGAATCCTTCCAGGCTGCACTTCCCTTCTCCTGCTCACCCAAGGCCTAGTCATCCACCACACTTCTCACCAGGATGCCAAAGCCAGACCCATTCTCCCAGGGGTTACTCTTCCCCACCCTGGCTCTTGTTGAAGATGGACACATGACCTTGGTCAAACCTCCATCTGGCCCCATTCAGCAAAGGCAAGGCAGGAGGAGGAAGGGGTAGGGAGGTCAGGAGCCCATCTGGGGCTGCAGCAGCCAGCACAGGAACAGGAGGCAGGCAGAGGCGCAGGGACCTGAGAAGGCTCCATTGCTCATTTGCTTCTTGATCCATTTTGTGTATTTGGTGACGCGGGTGTACACGCCTGGATTCTGTGCCTTGGCGCAGGCCTTTTCCCAGGACAACACCCCAGCCAGAATCCATCTGCCCTCAACTTCACAAGCCAATGGCCCTCCAGAATCCCCCTAGGCAAAAAGAGAGGAGTGGTGGAGGCTGTGGGTCCAGCTGGGGCTGCGGGGCTCTGGGGACCCATGCCCACCCTCTGAGCTCTGCTGGGAGGCTTTTCACTCCCCCAGGGCCTCACTACTTGGGGGCCTCTTTCGGCTCCTCAGCTGGGACCCATATCCCAGAACCGGAGCAAAAGTCAGCATCACAGGGGAAGGAAGACAGGAGCAGAGCACCGCCAGGCGATGGTGACGGAGGGAGGCCGGGCCAACCCCGCCCCAGGGAACTGCCTCCACCCAGGAGTGATTCCCAACAGAAGTGGAGCTACCAGAACCTCTCAGAAACTCACATAGCACAAGTTTTCTCCATAATTGGTGGCACAGATCATGTCCCCCAGGACAAGGGGGACAACTGGGGGAAAGAAGGACTTCTTGTGGTAATGCTGGTCACACCTCTTGTTGTCCATGATAAACACCTCAGCCTCCTGCAGCTCTGGGGTCAGCGTGGAGTTGGCTGTGGAGCCCAGCAGGGTGAGCAGTGACCTCTCACTCCACCCAACCCTGACCTCTGTCCAGGGTCTTGTCCCCTTCACTCTGGAGACTCAGCCCAGCCACCCCCTGTCATACCTCCAAGCCCTCCCCTCCTTTACCGGCCCCTCCCCCTGCAGTGCAGGCCTTGTCTGAGAAGTCCCCGCCCTCAAAGGCTCTGAGTCCAGATCCCCTTCTTGGGAAACTTCTGCTTCTGAACCAAGCCAGCCATAACTCAAGTCTCATTGCAGCTGCTTCCAGTCTGGTGCCCAGCCCCACGCGGCTTCCCTGCAGACTGTCAGCTCTGCCGGCATGGCGGCTCTCTCCACCTTCGTTAACACTCGCTCCTCCTCCAGGGCCTCAAGGCAGTCCCTCTGCCCAGAGCTCATTCCGGATCCCTCCCAGCTGGATCTCAAGACCACCAGACAAGAACTTTGCCTTGTTTTCCTCAGCCTGTGCCCACACCCACACCCAAACATGACTTCCCTCCAGGCAGGGCATGCATTTCTAATCCCAAGGGCTGGGTGCTGACACTCAAAGTGTGTCAAGTGAATGAATGAGTGAATGCCCAGTTCTGAGCTTCTGTAAGACACAGATGGTCATGCCCAGCCCAGGCACTACCAGGCCTGAATGAGGTGTCCACATGAACAGTGACAATGGTCACCACATGAGGAGTGGTCCTAACACATTCAGAGAACCAGGTCCAGCAGGAAAGGCCCCAGAAGGAAAGGAGTGTGCTCTCGGTGGTACCGCACCCACCTCCCATCCCATCCTGCTCACCTGAAAAGCGCTGCTTAACCTGGCTCCAGCCAGTCACCCAACACTGTGTCCCAACCTTCAGGTTGAAGTTGGGTTCCGGGAGGCAGATGGGCTGCACATACTCACTGAAGGTGACAGGTGCTTGAAGGTGGACAAGGGCAACGTCACCCATGATGAAGGTCCGGCCCCAGTACTTGGGGTGCATAATGATGTCCCTCACAGGGACCTGGAGGGCCCTGCTGAAGTTCATGGGCTGCAGCTTGGAGGTGCCAAGCACCACTGAATACTCTTTGGTGCTGTGGGAGACAGAGAGCCCCACCTGGTAGGTATCAGACTCCCAAGCAGGGACACACTCCTACCCTACTCCAGTGGGGACGCAGCCCTACCCCCTTAGCAGGAGTCCTGCCTCCACCCCATCGGCCTAATCTAGCCTGAGGGCACTGAAGTTCGGAGAGCTGCCTGCCTCCTCATTCATCATTCAAACTGATTCAAGGTGGCCTGGTCTGTGTGCTGTGCGTGCAGGTGTGGAAGTGTTGGTGTACACATACGCTTTCATGTGTGATGGGGTAGGGGGCATGTTCTGGGTTTTCCTGTTGCTCAGTTGAGGGTGTAATCTTTGTTGCTTGGGGCTCCTGCCCTAGCTCAGTCCCTGGTCCCCAGGAGACCCCGAGCACAATTCTCACCTATCCCAGATGCCCTTCCCACTTCCTCCCTCCCTCCCTCCCACACTGTTTCACTCAGGAAATGAGGAAGCTGGACTGGGCCCATGGTAGCTCGGGGTCTCCAAGCCCTGGACACATGGGCCACACTCACCCTTGGATGCAGTGGGCCGCAGTCACCACCCAGCTGGGGTCAATGAGGGCCCCTCCACATACGTGCTCATTTTCTATCCGGAGGCTCACCTCCCAGGGCCAATGGCGGGTCATTTCCAAATCCTCCAACCACCAGGGCTCACCACAAACTTCAGGAAGAAGTGTGCCAGGGAGACACAGCAACCACATAGAGAAGAATGAGAAAGACTATGACCTATATGCCCTACAGGGCCAATGTGCACAAAGCTGTAAAGTCAGGGGCTCTTCCCATTTCAGCGATGGGGAGAGTGAGGGTGAGAGAAGGGCAGTGGCCTCTGCCCAAGAGCTTGATGGAAAGTGACAATGACAGAGGTAAAAAGCATCAAGGCAGACACATGGAGAGATTGAGATTCTGAGTCACAGGGAGCCTTCAGCCCAGGACCTCAAAACAAAGGCAAGCAGAGAAGGAGCCCCAAGGCAAGAAATGCGTTTTCTTGCATCTGGGGAAGTTCCTCCCACTTCTGAAAAGCTATAATGCTTGCTGCATTTCTTAGATGCAGAAGGCCTCTGTCCCCCACACTGCTCAGAGTCAAGAAAAGCTCCTGACTTCTGTGTCAGAAGTTTTCACATTGAACATTCAAAGTGCCAGCAGGGAGACCCAGAGGCCCCTCACTCACAGGCCACACACTCAGTTTGCACACAGTTCTATCAGTCAAGTTATACGGTTGTATGAATGTATGAAGAAACACAGATGCAAGCACTCTAAATAAAATAGTAGCTAACATTGTATTTTTAAAAAATCAGTGCACCATGATGATTAAGGATTGGCCCAGGAGTGCAAGGCCGGTTCCACATTAGAGGAATTCTCAGTGGATTCTCCACATAAAAGGCTCTAACCATCTGAAGACAGAAAGACCATGTGCTTTCCTCCATGGACACAGAAAAAGGCATTTGAAAAATTTAACACATATTTATGACTTACAAAAAAAACCCTCTTATTAAACTAGAAACAGACAGAAAATCCTTAACTTTACAAAAGTTAGATATACCCCAAACTTACAACAAACATCATACAACACTAAAGAACAGGCAGAGAAGACCCTATCCCACCAGAGACCAGGAATAAGGACACTTTGTGGAAGGAGGGCAGAGGAAATAATTGACAGAACGCAAGGGGGCTGCTGGGTGCTGGTTTAGCCTACATTTTTTTTTTTTTTTGAGACAGGGTCTCGCTCTATCACCCAGACTGCAATGCAGTGTCACTGCTCACTGCAGCCTTGACCTCCCAGGCTCAAGCGATCCTCTCACCTCAGCCTCCCGAGTCACTGGGACTACAGGCGGTTGCCACCACACCTGGCTAATTTTTTAATAATTTTTTATAGAGACAGTCTTGCTATGTTGCCAGGGCTGGTCTCAAACTCCTGGGCTCAAGCAATCCTCACACTTCAGCCTCTCTACATACTTATTCTACTTTTTAACCTGGGTGGTGATGACACAGGTGTGCTCACTGTGTGACAATTCCTTCAGCTGGACCTTCATAATTTGTGCTTTTTGGAATGCATATAATACTTCAATAAAACAATTTCCTTTTAAAAACGATAATGTTTTCCTATCCCAGCACAACCAACTAGAAAATACACTGAAGTAAGATATATCTTCAGCAGCCAAAAAATGCTAAAGTTCATAGAATTAACTTACCTTACACCACACAAGACTCCTGTGGTAACAAATTTAAAACTCTAATAAAGGACACAGAAAATGATCAGCATAAATGGCAAGACAGTCCGCTCTTAAAGAATAGTTAAGGCCTGGCGCGGTGGCTTACGCCTGTAATCCCAGCACTTTGGGAAGCGGAGGCAAGCAGATCACGAGGTCAAGAGTTCGAGACCAGCCTGGCCAACATAGTGAAACCCCATCTCTACTAAAAATACAAAAAATTAGCTGGGCGTGGTGGCGGGCGCCTGTAATCCCAACTACTCGGGAGGCTGAGGCAGGAGAATTGCTTGAACCCGGGGGCCAGAGGTTGCAGTGAGCTGAGATCACACCACTGCACTCCAGCCTGGGCAATAGTGCGAGATTCTGACTCAAAAAAAAAAAAAAAAAAGAAAGAAAAAAGAAAAAAAGACAGCTAAATATTTTAGATGTAATTTTTCCAAAATTAATCTATAAATTCATTTTGTAAGTTAGAATTTTTAAGAAACTTGATAAACTTATTCTGAAACTGAAACAGAAAAACAAAGTTCTATGAATAGCTCAGTCTTTGAAAAAAGCACAGCAAAGAAGGGCCATTTGTCCGAGCAGATATTAAGACACATGTGAAAGCCATAATAATAAAAACAATGTGGTACTGTCACAAGGACAGACAATGGAAAGTGACAATGGAAAAGAATAGAGAACTTGAGATTGTCCCGTGTGCTGCATAAACTTGATGTAAATGAAGGAGCCACCACAATCAGTGGGTAAAAGAAGGACTGGTAAGTACATGGTGTTGGGAAAACTGGCTCACTATAAGAGAAATAAGAAAACCAAAACTGGATTCCTTGCTAAAAGCACTTGAAGATCTAAAGGTGAAAGGTAAAACTGTAAAATTAATAAATGATGTGACATGAGGTAGGAAAGGACTCCTTAAAACCTCAAACACAAACCATAAAACATAAACTGATTAACCTGATTATATCAAAATCGAGGGGTTTTGGCCCGGGAACAAAGTTAACAGACAGAGGACAGATAGGGAGGAAATATTTGCAATATCCAAAATGAACACAAGACTTTTATTAGAAAAATGCAAGAAACTTTAGGAAACCAACAAGAAAAAAAAAAGGTAATAGGCAAAAGATAGAGACAAGTAATTTATTAGAAGAGGAAACTCAAGAAGCCAACAACATATTGAGACATGATCAAACTCATCAGTAATGAGAAAAATGAAAATTAAATCAATAAGTGATTTTTTAATATATTAGATTGGCAAAAAATGTAAAAGCAGGATCACACTAAGGGTTGGTAGGTCTGTGCCAACCTATATACCTTTATGCACTGCTGAAGTAGGAGTTTGAAGAACTGACCACATTAGAATATGGATGGTAGATAAAAGTATGGTATCAATGCACACTTTTGAAGTTGTTAAGTGTACTGTGGTTATGGAAGAGAAAATTCTTAGAAAATACATACCAAAATATTTAGCAATAAAGAGCCATGCTGTATCACCCTCCACTGATTCTGAAAAATCCACTGATGCTGAAAACTTTTTTCAGAATCAGCCTCCACTGATTCTGAAAAAAAATATATATGTGTGTGTGTTCCTTGTACTACTTGTATTTTTGCAGTGTTTTGTAAGTTTAAAATTATTTCCAAATTTTAAAAATGTCTTAATGAGGCTGAATTAAAAGAGGGGAGAGCAAAACGAGATACAGAGAACATACCATTTATGTAAATTAAAAATACATGCACCCAAGACAGCAATATGTATTTTTACAATAGCACACACAAACAGAATGATCCCCCAGAAAGATTAAGCAGGTGGAGAAGGGGGAATGGGAGTGGAGCCTGGACAGAAACAAGGATAACTAACTTAATCCATCAGTCATCCAATCTATAATGAATCAGGGTAGAGTTCTGGCAGGACCAATGAGAATGGAGGCCCATAAACTGAGGAACAGGAGTAACCCAACCCTCCATGCCTAAGGTGTAAGGACAAAGACAGGAAACCCAGAAGAGCTGGGCTCTGCTGACACTGCCACAAGGTCCGGGAAGCTCTGTCTGCAACTGAACGGCTTAGAGCTCGAAAGGTTCTGTGTGCAAAAGGGTCTGAGACGAGGCCTAGGCAGAATTCCAAGAGGCTCAGCATTCCTCTGGCAGGCCAAGATCTTCTTTCCTCTAGACTGTCAGGTCTGTATGTTCTGGTAGCTGCAGGCTGTTCTTTAGAAAACAGACCCCTTAGACCAAATGCCTGTTTCCTACAGACCCAGAACCACTGTCTATGTGACTCCCTTCAGACATACCCTCCCAAGAGCTTCAGCTTTTCCTGCAGCAGGATCTCACCCTACCTACCTGGATTGGTTGTGTCCTGTGTATAACCTGGAGGAGAAAAGAGGGACAGAGATAAAGCAAGCATTCATGACAGGATGACAGCAAAGACGTGCATTTTAAAATTAGTTCATTCATTCATTCACCAAATAGGTCCTAATCTCTCACTCTGTTCCCAGCCTGGAGCCAGAGGCCAGGGAGACAGAGGCGTGTCAAATAGAGCCTACTCTTAAGGAATACAGTGTCCAGCAGCGTGGACAGAGGTAAATACACAACCACCTGCATGAGATCAGTGCAGGGACAGGGCGGCAGGCTTCAGGGGAGCCCAGAATAACTGGTGGACAGCAAAGACCACTTCAGTGGTAGGAGGGCTTACTGTGCCAGGTGTTAAAGATGAGAAGGTGAAACAGAAATGAAAAGTGATCATCACATTCCTTGCAGGAGGAACTTCGTCCTGTATGCCAGAGACTCCAGAGGAAGAGAAGCAAGGCCTGTGATGGCAAGAGATGAGCCAGGGGAGGAGAGTCAGGCATCAGTCATGAAGGCCTCGAAAGCTGAGCCAAGAAGCCAGGGTGAGACCCTCTGGGAAAAGGGAGATCAACAGAGGTATGACTGAGCCAGGCTTGTATTGTGAAAGCAGTATAGATATTAGACAGGAAGATGACAAGACTGAGGCACTGAGATCCCACCAGAGGCTCTGCAGAACCAAGGCAAGAAATGAGGAGGTCTGAATGACGAAGTGACTGTGAGAACAGACACAGTGTTCTCACAGGTGTTCTAAGGTGTGGGGGACTTAAGCACATGGGCGGGTCTAGGATCACACCCCAGTTTCTGGTTTTGGAGAAAAGTGGCTGCCATCCACTTAGTTAGGAAACAATGAGAGAAGCCAGTTGGCAGGAAGAAGAAGACCTCAGCATTGACCCCAAGGGGTTGAGATGTTTCTAGGTCTTTCAGGTAGAGATGTCCAGGAGGCAGCTGCACATCCAGACATGTTTTATGAGGCACCATCACATAAATGGCAACTCAAGTGAGTTCACCCAGTGAGCAGTTAAGAGGGGAGGAGCAGGAAAAAGAGAGCAGCTTAGGGGGCACGAACACGTCAGGGAAGAACATGTCTGCGGCATGGGACAGACACAGAGGAGAGGGGGAGTTACCCTTGAGGTAGAGGAGAATCAGGAGACTGCAGAAAATGAAAGAGGAGGGAGTGGTACGAAGGTCAGGGATGATCAGGGTGGAGACAGCCCAGGAAGGAGCTAAGAGTTAAGTGGGGAGCGAGGAGGCACTGGTGGGAAGCATGGAGTGAAGACAATTGGGAGTTCTGGCAGTGAAGAGGCAAGAGATGGGGGAGGAAAATCAGCAAATCGAAAACAAGAGGGTACCTATGAGAGAGGATGGTGGAGGGAGTGTCGTACAGGGAGAGCCCACACAGCAGGGCACAGGTGAGCCGCTGGCCCTGCACCAGAAGCAGGTCTCTCTGACTCCTAAAGAAGTCGGTGAGGGTGGTGCTGAGCAATCCAGCTTGGAGGAGCCCCTGTGGGTTTGGGGACTGGGTTCAGGAAGACAGCACCTGAATCCCGTGTTTCCTGAGGGAATGATGGGCTACTAGGGAGGCAAGCTGGGTTGGAATAGAGGATCTGGGAAGAAGGTGAATTTTAGAACACTCCTGTAGTGATGGGGACCAAGAATTTTCCTGGGCCAAAGAGCATGTCCAAGTGGGGTCTCCAGTGGGGCTCAGCTCCGTGCGAAGATCACAGCCGGGGGTGGAGGGGGAGCCTATGAGAGGCCTGAGGGCGGCTCAGTTGGTAGGGACATTAGCCACGATGTCCAGACTGGGAGAGAAGGAAAAGACTGCCAGTGGAGAAGAGAAGGCAGGGGTTCCCCACAACGCTGGTCCAGGGGACTGTAGGACAGGTGTGGCCTGACGGAGGAGGCCAGAGGGGGCAGGAGTTTAAGATCCTGGAATTGCCCTAGCGAGGTCCTGGGAGCGAGTAGTAGAGGAAAGCTGATCCAGGGATGTGTGGGCCGCAAAAATCCCCGACCCAGGAGTAGGCAGCCACACCCAAGCGGCAGTCCCCCGCCTCCAAGGCCAGGCACGGAGCCAGAGGCGGAGCAGGGCTGGGGGCCGGGGAGAAGGAAGGTAGAGCTGCCGAGGAGCGCCCACCTCACCCCAGCTCAGCGGCAGCAGAAGCAGCAGCGGCAGCAGGACGTAGCGGCTCAGGACCAAGGGCCTGGAAGTTCCGGGCCCCACGCCGAGGCTCGACAGCGAGACGGCCATGAGGCTGGGGAGGTGCCACCTGGCGACTGCGGAGACGGTTCCCAAGAGCCCGGCACGTGCCTGGCGTCGGCACACGTGACCGCACTGTAGCACGTGATGGCGCCAGGAACTCCTGACAGCTCCCCACAAAGCTGACACATTTCCCTTACCTCCACCTCCTGCCTGTTCTTGAGGAGCCCTGTGTCTGTGATTGCTCCCAGCGTAGCGGGCCTCATGCAAGCACCCCCAAGAGTTTTAAGTTGGTGACAATGCCCCGAGAACCTGGCCGGTGAAGGTGCACCACATCCCTGGACTACTAATGGCATCTTGTTGCCCAGCCTCTGACTACACCCTTGATTCCCTGCACCCAGTGCACTGGAGAGTTTCACAATTACTCTTGCTTTGAGAATCTGGAAAGATGGAGAAAGCACAAATAAGGAAAAGAACGGTAAGGCTATGGAATCAGAAAATATGTATTTGAAAAAGTGGTATTTGAGCTGGATCTAAGACCACTATAAAATAAGGACTCTTGGGGGAGACTAGAGAAAGGAAAGGCCTGTGTCCTCTTCCACAGATAACCAGTAAGATCGTGGCAGCTAAAAGGAATGGGGTGGCTTGTGCCAGGCCTTGGGCTTCCACAGGGATTTTTTGCAGAAGATGCTGTCTTTGGATCTGCTAGGCATGGCAGAGATTGGGAGGTGATCAGCTAGACTTGGAGCCACATTCCCTCCCCAGCCTGGCACTTAAGTGGGTCTGCATGAATAGAGGTGATGCGTGCCACTTCCATGCCAAGGCAGTCAACAGGAGGTTGCCTTTTCTATTGTTAATGCAGAGCATTGCTTCTCAAAGTGAGGTCTCCAGACCAGCAGTATTAGCATCAGCCAGGAACTTAGAAATGGACATTCTTTAGGTCTTTCGGGTAAATTTACATTCTTTTAAGGTCTTTCTACCTGAAAGACAGAGAATGTAGGCCCCATCCCAGACCTACAGGATTGAAAACTCCAGGGGTGGAACCAGGAACCAGGAATCTGTAATTTTGTTTTAAGGGATGAGGTTTCCTCCTGTTCCCCAGGCTGGAGGGCAGTGGTGTGATTATACATCTCTGCAGCCTCAAACTCCTGGGCTCAAGACGTCTTCCTGCTCAGCCTCCAGAGTAGCTGGGACTACAGGCACAGGCCACCATGCCCAGTTAATTTTTTTTAAGAGACATGCTACATGCTCAGGCTGGTCTCAAGCTCCTGGCCTCAAGGGATCCTCCTGCCTTAGTCTCCCAAGTAGCTGGGATTATAGGGATGAGCCACTGTATGGCCAGTAATCTGTATTTTACAAGCCTTAGGGGATTCTGATGCAGTTAAAGCATTAACTACAGGACTGAGAGCAAGCCACGAGATGGAGAAAGCTATCTGCTGACCAAGAACGCTGTAATGGGATGTTCTAGGAAAAAAAGTTAAATTTGTTTTATTAATCTATGAATAAATCAGTGGTTTCTTAAAGCAGGTGGTGCTATATTCATTAAGAGACTGGGTTTGATGTAAGCTCTCAGTCTCTCAGCCTTAGCCTTCCTCAGGCAACAGAAGGGACTGATACAGACTGTCCACTGAAGCCTACCCATACCTGGGGGTTAAACATTCAACCCTAGAAGGGCAAAGGGCAAGAGGTTGGGAGGGGGTTGATCAGCAGCTAGACAGAGAGACTCCAGGACACCAGACTTTGTAATGAGAAGAGAGAACCTATGTATACTACAGTGAATCTCTCTTGCCCTTCTCCCGATGGGATCGCATCTTTCGTAGCCAAGTGGGAGGGAGCAGCAAGGAGAAGCAGTAGATGAGGAGGAATATTTCTCACACCCGAACTTCACTCCTGGGCCCAGTTCCAGTGTCTCTTGATCCCCTATCCCTAACTGTAGAGACTGTTAAACTCAACTACAGAGCTCCCTGCAGAGATGCTGATGGCTATAACAGGCATACAGGGAACAAGACCCATTGGCTAAAACCATCCCTAGAGTTCATGTCTGAGGAGGCAGGGCCTCACCTGTCCTTCTACGTTTTAATAAGAACCATAAATAGCTTCCTTAGTTAAATGGGAAGCCAGTTCTCTATAGAGTATGTTATATTCAACCAAACTCCCCAGTGAGCAGAGCTTCAGAAACAGGAGACTCTCCAAACATTTATTTAGTTGATTTCTGAAAACTCCACACTCCATAACTGCCTCAACACAACTTTTGGTGTCCCTGAAAGTGGCCACTAGAGCACTGAGGAAGGGGATGCCAAGAATGGGTTGCTCCAAAAGAACTAGTATGGCAGAGGATGTCCACTCACAGATGGATCCACACTGGGCTGCAGGGGATCTTCTCCCAGCCCCAGACAGTGGAGCCAGAGTGGAAGTCCCAGGCCTCACACCTCTGCAGGGACCTGGTAACGCCTCCTTCACTCTCTCTGAGCAATCACCCAGCTGGCTGGTTTCACAGAGTCTCAGGTGGGAGCCCTGACACCAGAACCACATTGAACGCTTGCTTCACCGTTGATGATGTCTCTTCTTTGATAGATGTTCCCCCAGATATTGATGAGTCGCCATGGCCCACCTGGCAGGGCAGCTGGCCCTCTAGCTGCAATCGCTTCACTCCTTCCTTCCCACCAGCCAGAGCACAGCCCTGGTGCAGGCGTGGCTAAGGAAAGTGACCAGAGCACCAGGCAGGGGCGTGTTCCAGGCCCCAGTCTCCCTGCCATGCTCTATTGTATGGATCTCCAGAGGGCCCGTGGATTCCAACTGGGATTTGCAGAAAGGGCATTGGGAAGGAGTGGGAGGTTGGTCAGAGAAGACACCTAAGTGTGAGACTCCGAAACAGCAGAAGAGTGGAATGGGGTCTGATCACGGGGCCACCAGGATGCCCAGGGGCATCATCAGGCACAGGACTAGGATGAGGGAGTCTGCTGAATTCAGACAGGAAGCTTGTCTCAGGTGATCAATAATCCATTTCTTGTAGAAACTAACTTCTGTGTAAACTCCAGGATATCCTTTGCGACCGCAGCCAACACCCCAGCTCACAATCCCCACCTGGAACCATGTGCCATTTAATTCACAGACCAGGGGCCCCCCAGAATCTCCCTGGAAAAAGAAAGATAGTCACTGTAGGAAAGAAATGGCATCCACATCAGAGCAGGCTAATTGCACTGCAATGGGCTGCAGAGCTAGGCACTCAGGGGGCTTCCCCAGGAACCCCTAAGACCCTCCCTAGCCTTGGGTATCTGTCAATATGAGATCTGAGAATTGACAATTTCCAATAAACCAAAATCATGTACCTACTAAAAAGGTGTGTTCCAAAAAACAGAATATACATAATGAAATCGTGCCTACTCTGAGACAATAATGAGTCAGGTGCTTACCTGAGTACACTGCCTGTCACACAAAGGGGCTCAAGACATGGAGCATGTATTGTTGGTGGGACCTGCCTGATTCACCCCTCCTCCCACTCCAGGCTGTGTCAGCTGCTCTCTCCTGAAGGATCAGGTAGGCTGCCCAGGAGAGCCTTGGTGGCTTGTCCTCATGTCTCATTACCATGAATAAGGGTAACGGACAGGCTAGGAGATAACCCAGGCCCTACTGGCTGGGGATGAGGAAGCTTTAAGGAGACAACTACAGTGCGGAGGTAGCAAGAGGCCCATGAACTGACCTGACAGGAATCCTTCCCTTGGTCATTATAGCCACAGACGGTCCCCCTCGTGACCATTTTACTCTTGGCTACACTCTTCTTCTTGATCATCTCACGACATTGCTCATGACGCAGAATGTTTAGCTCAGCCTCCCGAAGAACAAATGGCCCTGATCCTGAAACTGCAAAGAGACAACTTACAAGAGAGTGGATCTTCACAAAGGGATCTAACAGGAACCCCTAGTGCTCACTCTGAGTCCTGATCAGTGTGTTTAACACAACTGCCCAAATTAAAGGAAGTCAGGGCAGTGGATATTGGCCCCACTTGACATAGAAGGAAACTTGAGCCTAATGTTGACATGGAGAAAGGAAAGGACAAGAAGCAAAATCAAGACAGTAAAAGGAAAAACAGATCAGGAGAGAGACAAGACCTTGTCAGCCTGAAAAATGACAACCAAGTATCTGTCACTCTGAGTATCAGCAGAAATGACAGGCTGTCCTGTGCATCAGTAAAGCATCTTTACTTTCTAGAGCAGGATCACAGACTCTTGGACAGGTAGTGCCTCTCCCTAAGGATAGGAGCCCCCACAGCCTCACTGGCAGGATTGCTCTGGCTTGGCCTACACTGCTAGGGTGAAGAAGTTCAACCCATCAAGGCAGGAACTTCTAGTGGGGGTTGGCTCCTATTGGCAGACAGCTCATCACCCTGAGCTGAAATTCACCCTGAAGAGAACCCACTACACCTGGCCCCCAAGCCCCCAGGTCCCAATGTGACAACAGAAATTCATAGCATAGTTGTTAAATTACTTCCTGGCAGCATCTTCTCCACCCTCCTCCCTCACCCACATGCTAGAAAATGGCTTCCCTGCCTCTCCCAATAGCTTGCAGATCAAGCCCAGCCCACCAGGCTGTCCCACCTCAGCATCCTGTCTGTCTCACCACTCTCTGACACTCGGCCCCATCCAGTCACCCAGCACTCTGTCCCAGTTTCCACTTCAAAAAGTTCTTTGGGGAGGCACACAGGCTGGATGTGTGAGGAATAATTCACAGAGTAGGCAAGCAGAGCAAGGGCAATGTCGTTTGTCAAACTGGCAAAATCAAAATTGCTAGGAAAAATGATGTCTTTAACAGGGATCACCAGTGCGTTTTCGGAACCAGCATTCAAGTTAGTGTCTCCCAGCTTCACCTTGTATTCCAAATCACTGTTAAGAGAAAAGATGGCCTTCACAGAGATCCTGGGGAGCGGGGGTGGGGGGCATCTATGCTCCCCTTCCACACCTTCCAGGTGCTTCCCAGCCTGGTCCCATCTTCCTATGCCAGCCAGCAGCCACTTCCCTTCCTGCAAACCACATCCCCCCAGGACCGCTGACCACTTTAGCCGGTGGTCCCCAGATCAGCGGTGGCGGCAGCAACACCTGGAAATTTGTTAGAAATGCAAATCCTCAGATCTCACCCAGACTGGATAAAAACTATGGGGCTGTCACCCCCTTTTACAGATGAGGAAGAGGAGGTTCAGGGAGGGGGACAGACTGGCTCTAGGTCCCGCAGCCTGATCAGGGCCCAAGCTCTGAGCCCCAAACACTCACCTAAAGACACAGTGGGCGGCAGTGAGCACCCAGCGCCTGTCGATGAGGGAGGCTCCGCAGAGGTGTTTGTCCTGGGTCTGGAGGCTCACCTGCCAGGGCCACTTCCTGTTTAGGGCTGGCAATCCTCCAATTATCCTTGAAACACGGTGGCCACAGGCTGGTGGGCTCAGTAAAGAGAGGGGACTGGAAGTGAAGCCACTACCTTCCCCCCACCCCCACCAGGCTGCCCAGGGCGGAGGCGGGTTATCCTCTCTCTCAAATCCTGTAGGTCAGGGTCTTACCCTCAACCTCCCTGAGCCAGGCTGCGTCCCCTTTGACCTCCCAGGCAGGCCAGGACAAATCTAGCACCAGAAACAATACCCTGAGAAAATTGCCTTCCAAGGTCAGAGATCCCGTCGGATTCCAAGGCTTCTCCCACTGTAGATGCTGAAGTAACCCAGGATCCTGGAGGCCCTGCGGGCGCTGAAGTCCCTGGAGCTACAGAGGTTTCTGGAATTTTGGGGAATTTCAGGTGCACAGGAGGCGTCCGGGCTTCTGGGCTTGCCAGGTTCACTCTGGAATCCTCCTCGGGTCGGTATGGCTCACCTGGTGAAGACGGGGACCCGTGGCAAACAGGAGCTGGCCTGGCGGCGCCTCCTCCGCGTCTGCCTGTTCCCACAGCACCCCCACTGCCACCCCACACCCAGCGTGGGTGCAGCCCCGCCCCGCCCTGCCCTGTCCACTCCCGGCCTCACTGAGCAGGGGCTGAAGAAGCTGAAGCCAGATCAGGAAATGGAGGCTCAGGCGTGTGCCTCCACGGCCCCTGCGTAGGCCATCCTGGGACGCCATGGGCACAGTCAGCATGCCTGGCGGCGGCTGCGCCCTGGTCCTGGTGTTGGCCGGAACCCGGTGTGCCAGCAGAGACCTGAGGCGGCTCTCGCGATCCCCAGTCACTCAGCAAAAACGAATCCGGGTAGTGCTGTGAAGGAAGCGGCTTTCAATATGTTATTCGTCTTGTGAACCTTAAGACAGAGATTTTCCTGGATTATCCGGTTGAGTGTAATTTTTTTTTTTTTCGATGGAGTCTCGCTCTTTCGCCCAGGCTAGAGTGTAGTGGCATGATCTCAGATCATTGCAGCCTCCACCTCCCAGGTTCAAGCGATTCTCCTGCCTCAGCCTCCCAAGTAGTTAGGATCACAGGCGCGGGCTACGACGCCTGGCTAATTTTTGTATTAGAGACGGGGTTTCACCATGTTGCCCAGGCTGGTCTCAAACTCCTGACCTCACGTGATCCTCCCACCTCGGCCTCCCAAAGTGCTGGGACTATAGGGGTAAGCCACTGCGCCCGGCCCACATTGAGTGTAATCTAATCACTGGATACCCTTCAAAGCAGCAGAAAATACAGTGTACCCAGTGGAAGATTTCAAGTGAAACAGAAAGAGCCTGCTGGCCTGCTGCCTGGGGTTCCAGCTACTCCGAAGGCTGCTGCCGCGGAAGGGTCTCTGCAGCCCCGGGGTTTGCCTACAGCCTGGACGATATATTGAAATGCCATCTCTTTAAAACAAAACAAAACAAAACAGAACAAAGTATGATAAATAGAAAACACAAAACAAGATGGCTATAATCAATCCTAACACAATAGCAATTGTGTTACATGTAAATGTGTTGAAAAAAACAAACAAAACAAAGACTTCATAATTAGAGAAAAAAGATATCATCCGGAAATATACTATATGAAGAGACAAATTTAAAACAAAAAGATACAGATAAATTGGAAAGGGGGGATAGAAAAAGAAATACCAAGCAAATCTGAAACACAAAGTAAGTGGTATAGCAATTTTCTTCCTAGATCATAGTATTTAAGGCAAGATCATGATAAAGGGACAGAGAGGAATCTTATTATATAAAGTAAAAATAAGAAATGATCAAGAAGATGCAGAGAAAAGCCTATAATACACAAAGAAACAGGTGACCAATTAATGGGAGACTGGAGTTTTTGATATGTTCCCCTTAAGAAACTGCTGGATTACACAGACAAAATTAAGCAAAGATAAAGAAGATTTGACTATTACAATTAATAATCTTCACCTTAGCTGTATAAAATTTACAACTACCGACAGAGAACCCTTGCTCAATGACCACAAAGGGAACATTCAGAAATGATGCCACAGAGAACAACAAACTCCAGGGGATCATTGGCAGATAGATTCTGTTCTTGAGTAACAAGTCAATAATATTAAAATCAGTTTTTAACATATCAAAAAATCCCATCTTTCTGAAACAAAAACAAAACCCTTCTAAGTGATTCTCCTATAAAAAGAAAATCATGAGGGAAATAATGAACATTTAGAGGTGACTGCCAATGAAAACACTACATATCAAAGCATATGTGATGCAGATAGACCAGTCCCAGAAAGTAATTTACAGCTTTGACAAGATCAGAAAAGAAAGACTGATAGCAAATGAGCTAAACATCCAACTCAGAAAGTTAAAAGGATCAATGGAGTAAACTCAAAGAAAGAATTTGAGACAAAGGAGAAAATAATGGAAAAAGGAGACAGAAATCAATAAAGTAGCCAGGCACAGTGTCTCAGGCCTGTAACACCAACACTTTGGGAGACTGAGGTGGGAGAATTGCTTGAGCCCAGGAGTTCAAGATCAGCCTGGCAACATAGTGAGACCCTGTCTCTACTAAAAATAAAAAAAACCATCAGGTATGGTGGCGTGCACCTATAGTCCCAGCTACTTGGGAGGATGAGACAGGAGAACTCATTTGCGCCCATGAGTTCGAGGGTACGGTGAGCTATGATCAGGCTGCTGCACTTCAGCCTGGGTGATAGAGTGACACCCTCTCTCTTAAAAAAAAAGGAAATCAATAAATAGAGAAAAAGTTATGGAGAGAATTAGCACAATCAGAATTTTGTTATTTGAAAAGCCTAATAAAATAGACAACATTCTAGTAAGATTAAGATAAAAGAAAAAAAGCAAAATACAAAATGAAAAAGGGAAAGCAACTTAAAGAGATATTTTTTAATTACCTATGATAGATATTTTTGACTATAAAGGAATGTTGGCTGGAAACTGTGGCTCGTGTCTATAATCCCAACACTTTGGGCAGCTGAGGCAGGAGGATTGCTTGAGCCCAGGAGTTTGAGACCAACCTAGGCAACATAGTGAGACCCTGTCTCTAAATCAAATCAAATAAAATAAATTAGCTGAGCATAGTTGTGTATACCTGTAGTCCTAGCTACTCAGGAGGCTGAGGCAAGAGGATCACTTGAGCCTAGGAGGTTGAAGTTATAGTAAGCTATGATTGTACGACTGCACTCCAGTCTGGGTAACAGAGCAAGACCCCAAAAAAAAAAAGAAAAAGAGAGAGAGGAGAGAGAGAGAGAGAGAGAAGAAAGAAAGAAGTTATTGAATGCTGACTTCTCCTTCTGGCCGTGGAATATAAAAAGACTGACCTTCCCACCTGAAACAACCAAAAATGGACAAAAATCCGAAACAATAGTTTTTAAGACACTGGACACCAACCAAAAAAAAATAGAATCCCTAATAGATGGGGAACAAATACAGTAAGCCCTATGATCGTCTCAGGTTTATGACTGAGAGAATTTCCAGGCCACAGTACAGAGAAGGAGAACGCAGGCAGAATCCAGCAGGCTCCTGGATGTGAGCAGGTATTGCTGAGAGGCCAGGAACATGGAGGCAGCTATGCTGATAAAATACTGCAGAGGAGAGAGTCACACAAAGAAAGAACACAAAGATTTGCAGAGGTTCCCTGCTGTAGTTTGGAGGTTTGTCCCCTCCACATCTCATGTTGAAATTTGATCCCCAGTGCTGGAAGTGGGGCCTAATGGTATGTGTCAGGGTCACAGGGGTGGATCTCTCATGAATAGATTAATACCCTTCTTGGAAGAGGAGGAGTGAGTGAGTTCTCACTATATTAGCTGCCAAGAGAGCTGGTTGTTAAAAAGAGCCTGGCACATCCATGTCCCCTCTCTTGCTTCCTCTCTTGCTATGTGATCTCTACATACTAGCTCCCCTTTGCCTTCTGCCATGAGAGGAAGAAGTCTGAGACTCTCATCAGAAACAGATGCTGGCACCATGCTTCTTTACAGCCTAGAGAACCATGAGCCAAATAAACCTCTTTTCTTATAAATTACCCAGCCTCAGGTATTCCTTTATAGCAACAGAAATACTCCCCCTTGAGTATTAAACTGAGTATTGGTCAGTGCATGTCTGTGAGGAAACAACCTGAAGCTAGAGAAATAACCACGGAAAAGAATTAGAAGTAACAATGCCTGGTGCTCACACAGGGCCAAGTATAGAGCCTGCTTCCATTAGTTGGACAAAATAACTCAAGATTCACAGAGCACTGGGTGGAGTATCCAGGAAGGTCTTGCCTCAGCAATGGGGAATCATTAGGCCTAGACTGAGAATTGTCCTGCTTAAAAAAATCTTAAAAGCAAGATCTGAAAAGATCAAACAGTTTCCAAGTAATTTAAATGCATCCCAAAACAAAGCTCAAGAATATTTATGAGAATATGAAAATATCAAACAGCCAACAAGGTAAAAGTCACAATATTCAATATCCAATCAAAGAATACCCAACATGCAAGAAGCATGAAAATATAACTGATAATGATGGGAATCATCAATTAATTTTATCTTCTCCAAACTGACACAGATGTTAAATGCTCAGGCAGGAGCATTAAAACAGTCATTGTAACTTTAAGTTATACATATACATATATATTCAAAAAGTTCAGGAGAGATATCTAAGATGAAAAATGACCCAAATCAAACTTCTAAAAACGAAAACTACCATGTATGTTAGAAATACACTCATGGGATTAGTAGCATATTAAACTTTGTGGAAGAAAAGATTAGTAAACTTGAAAACCTAACAATTTAAAAAAATTTGACCAGGCTCAGTGGCCCATGCCTGTAACCCCAGCACTTTGGGAGGCCGAGGAGGGTGGATCACCTGAGGTTGGAAGTTCGAGACCAGCCTGACCAACACAAAAATTAGCCAGGCATGGTGGTGCATGCCTGTAACTCCAGCTACTTGGGAGGCAGAGTCACGAGAATTGCTTGAACCCAGGAGGCGGAGGTTGCGGTGAGCTGAGATTGCTCCATTGCACTCCAGCCTGGGCAACAAGAAGGAAACTGCATCTCAAAAAAAAAGAAAAAAATTCAAAATGAAACAGGAAAAAAAAGAGAGAGAGAGAGAACGTCAGTGAGCTCTGTCCTAATGTGTGAGTATTTGGACAAAAATATTTAAAGAAATAATGTTCAAACGTTTTTAATTTGATAAAAACTATAACCCCACAAATCTAGTAAGCTCAATGAACACCAAAGAAGGAAACATGAAGAAAACTAAACCAGGCCGGGAGTGGTGGCTCGTGCCTGTAATCCCAGCACACTGGGAGGCCGACGTGGGCAGATCACCTGAGCTCAGGCATTTGAGAACAGCCTGGCCAACATGGTGAAAGCCTGTCTCTATTAAAAACATGAAAACTAGCTGGATGTGGTGGCACACACCTGTAGTTCCAGCTACTCGGGAGGCTGAAGCAGGAGAATTGCTTAAACCCGAGAGGCGGAGGTTGCAGTGAGCCAAGATCGCACCACTGCACTCCAGCTTGACCGACAGAGAGAGATTCTATCAAAAAAAAAAAGTATCTATGTGTGTGTGTGTGTGTGTGTAAAACTAAACCAAAGCACAACTTAATTAACTTGCTTAAAACCAGTGATAAAGTAAGTGCAGAAGAACAAAGATAAGGATAACAGTAGATTTCTCATCAGAAGCTATACAAGCAGGAAGACAGTTGAGCACCATTTTTTAAGTGCTGGAAGAAAAGAACTTGTAGAATTTTATTTCAAAAATGAAGGCAAAATATAGATTTTTTTCAGACATGCATAAGATGAAAGACTATCACCAGCAGACCTGCACTATAAAAAAGTTAAAATCATTCA